ATTAACCCGTTTACAGCAATGCCCGCATTATTAGTTATTACAATAAATTATAGCTTTTGTGTGTCCATTTCCAGAGGTAAAGGAATGTAAAACTTTTGTAAAAAAAGAAGAAAAACAATAAATTCAAGGTGCTCAACCCTCACCCACAAACAACCGCCAGTGCCCCTTCAAAGTAACAATATGCTTCACTGCACAGCGTTTGCGCATTGCAGCAAAGCTGACTTTCTAAATCTGCTATAATGTGGGAGCTGCGGTGGCTTCTCTAAATATACACTTCCTGACATGCAATATGAGTAAAAAGTTGAAACTGACAAGTTTCGGAATTCTGAACTTTGCACGTCATCATACATTGGCTCTACGAAGTTTCTGGCAGCCGCATAAAAGCATCCGAATTTTCAAGCATGCCCGAAAAATTGGCAGGTTTGTCATTTTTATCACTGATGTCTGTAGGCATACCCCATCCGATAATATAGTTTTCTCACAACAGCTGTTTAGAGCAACTATCGGTGATAGCAACAAACTTTTGTGGTACTTGAGTATTGTTATAAATGGGTTCAATTATAACCACTTCAATGTAATGTTAGCTGCACCAAAGTATGTCTGCTGTAGTAGGGGACTTCAGCTAAATTTGTTACCTACTAGGCTTCTTTAATGTGCACCTTTAATTACATGGACAAGTCCACATTTCAAACAAGCAAGCATGTGCGCAAACCTTTGCGTACAAGCTTGTTCTCATCTTCCGTCACCTCTAAGGTTGTGGGGAAAGTGACGAAAGAGTACATAAATATGTAGCTAAGGAAGGCGGTTACTACCCCGACAGAGACAAATATTTTAGCTGAAACACTGGCTTTAGCGACAGTGAAATTTCCTATTCAATAATTTCTTATCACTCCAAGTCCCATTTTTGCCTGAACTGTCTCGTTTGGACGCATATATAAGGAGTTCTATGGGGGTATGGGGGGGGGGGGAGGGTACAGAGCAGAAATTTTGAGGATTACAAAAAGGGCTCAACTTGAGTTGAGGACGATGCAGCGAGCAATGGAAAGGAAAATGGTAGGTGTAACCTTAAAGGGCCACTCACCAGGCCGCATATCGAATTGTAGTTAGACAGTGGAAGTTGTTGGGTGTCCGAGGAGGAACATTTTGACACAAAAATTTTTCCAAATCGGTTCATCCCGAGCGGAAAAAACAGGTTTTTTGAAGCGGCGCGAAACGAGGATGAGAGGAGGCGAGCTCGAAATCCTTGCCACTCCTCCGCGTTGTCTTCGCAAGCCAAATCTCTTCCCCACTCTCTCCAGCATTCGACCATGAGGTGACGTGCGCATGACGTGCCCAAACAAGTCCAACCCCCGAGCACGTGAGCAGCATTGCTCTGTTGACCAGCGTTATTTTGTGGTCTTCTGCCTGTTTCTGAGGGATGGTTTGGAAACGCTGGCTTAGACGCGGTAGAGTACCATATTTTCGCGCATATAACCCGCATTAAAAACCCAAAAATTTTAGTGGCAAAGTGAAGGTGCGGAAAATACGCGCGGTTTTTCCTATAGTGCTGCTTCACAGCAATGCGTGTTGTGCTGTGAAGCCCCTTAACAGTGTAGCGAAGGCTACGGAGGCGGTTTCCGCAAATTCGTGTTGCTCCGCAAGTAGCACGGCAGCTTGCGGCCGATTTTGGTTTCGCTTGCTTGCATCATTGAAGCGTTTAGAAAAATATTTGGGGAGAGACAATTCGATTGTTCAGTGTAAAATCTCACTGTCACACCACAAGTATATTTTTTGGACGTTCGCGGCCGCTCAGTGACCCTCCACATGTCCCTACGTCACGGACGCCATGTTTACTTTTGGAAAGGGCTTGCCGAAAAGGTGGTGCTGTCTAAGAAAGTTCCATAATAAATAAAGTAAGTTCCATAATAAATAAAGCAGTATTTATTTCAGCAAGGCAAATTAGATATTATAGTGCCTATAAAGATATTATCGGTAAATTAATGTACTACTTTTTGACACGGCAGCAGGCATGCATTTCGGTTCTGTTGTTTCCAGGGTGCTGTTACAGTGTACTAGAAGGGGTAGTGCTGTCAAGTTGTCGCCGAGTGTGAGCGCTCTTTACCTCGCTGATACCGCTAGTTCTCCACATCTCGACCCGTTCCCCAAGCCTAAGTCGATCTGTTCTGTCACCATGAGTAGCGTACGGCGGCAGGCCTTCACTGCACAGCAAAAGCTTAAGATAATCGCCGTCGCCGAGGAATTCGGAAATCGTGAAGCGGGAAGACGGCACGATGTGGACGAGTCCTGCGTGCGACTGTGGAGAAAGAAGAAAGAGAGCCTACAAGCCACGCACCGTGACCGTAGGTCATTTCGTGGCACCAAGACCGGTGCCTACCCTGAGCTGGAAGCTGAGCTAGAAAAGTTCATCGAAGATGTGAGAAGCAGGGGTCACGCCGTATTGACCGAGATGGCCCAAGTGGAAGTGCGGCGACTTTTGAGGGAGCTAGGCCTACCTCACGAGTTCCGTGCGAGCCGTGGATGGCTGCACCGCTTTATGAAGCGACAAGGGCTCTCACCGCTTTATGAAGCGACAAGGGCTCTCAATCAGACGGCGGACTACAATATGTCAACGCTTGCCGGCTTCTTATGAGGAGAAGCTGCTCAAGTACCAGAGATATGTAATTGGCCTGCGAAAGCAGCACAATTACATTTTCTCGCAAATCGGCAATGCGGATGAAACTCCTGTTTATTTTGAAATGCCGTTGGACACAACGATTGAGAAGACGGGCAGCAGTTCGGTGAGCGTGCTGACCGGCGAGAACACGAAACTGCGCATCACAGTCTTGCTTTGTGCCCTCGCCGACGGCATGCAACTGCGACCGTAGTCATCTTGAAAAGGAAAACTCTACCAAAGGTTCATTTGCCTGCCGGTGTGGTGGCGCGCGCATACGAGAACGCGTGGATGAACAGCGACTTGTTCGTAGATTGGATCAAGACTGTATGAGAGAAGAGGCTTGGTGCGATGCTCGCAAAGAGGTCCATGCTCGTTCTTGATTGACTCGTTCTGCGGCCACACAACTGAGGAAGTGAAGGACGGCCTTTCACGCAACGGCAACGACTTAGTTGTTATACCCGGTGGAATGACGTCAATGTTGCAGCCTCTAGATGTGTCGCTTAACAAGCCCTTCAAAGCGCATGTCAAGCGCTATTATGCCAAGTGGATGGCCGAAGGCTGCTACGACTTGACGCCGACAGGACAAGTCCGAAGGCCTGATATTGCCCTATTCTGCAAGTGGATTGTCGAGGCATAGAAGGCCATTCCAGGTGAGATGGTGCGAAAAAGTTTCAAGAAATGCTGCATCACAAACAACATGGATGGAACCGAAGATGACCTTGTGCATAATAGTGAGGACTGCGGCTCAAGTGATAGCTCTAGCGAGAGCAGCGACAGTGAGTGAATTGTGACTGGCCTTGCAGACAGCGTATTCTGCTTGCTAAATAAAGCTTTTCTGTCTACATATGTGCTATGTTGCTTGAGTAGTAGCTTTTGTACAGCCTTTCCTGTATGTCAAATGTGCGGGCAATACGCGAGGATTTTTTTTTTCTTTCTCTGTGAGCTGAAAGTGGGGGTGTGGATTATATGCAGGGGTGGGTTATACACACAAAAATACGGTAGATGAGTACAATGAGTGCACGAACGCGTAGGAGCGTTCCACGGCGGTTGTCTGCTCAATGCGCTGACCGCGGGGACACGAACGCATGCGAAACTCTGGCACATTAGCTCCTCATCTCGTATCATTTCACGGTTAAAAAAAATTAAAGAAAAATGTGCACAATTTTTTATTGCATCTCATTATTTATTTTGAGTTTCATTAATCTCTTAAAGCAACAAATACATAAACTACGCATGTTGTGTCAAATAATTTTTGCCATGTCACGTGGTATACTTTTGACAACGTCAGAGCAGAGTCGTCTACGTAGAGGACCAACATATTTGCATTGCCGTTTACGTAAGGCCATTCATACGCCTACGTCATACCCTCATTCTCTAGGCGTGCGCCGGCAGAGGGGAGGGGGAGCAGCATTCATCTTGAAATTTGACCCATTTCAGCGGCGCGTAGCGTTGCAAATTTTGGCAGATGTGATCATGAATGCCTCATCTACGCTTTGCGCTTGTCAGCTCAAAATTGTCAAACCTGGTGAGTGGCCCTTTAAGAGACAAGAAGAGAGCACAGTGTATCAGGAAACAAACAGGTGTTTAGGATATCATAGTCAAAATCAAGAAGAAGAAATGGTTTTGGGCAGGGCACGTAGCGTGAAGGCAAGATAACCGCTAGTCATTAGAAATCCCAGACTGGTTTCCAAGAGAAGGCTGCGGGTGAAGGCGAGACAGAAAGTTAGGTGGGCAGATGAGATTAAGAAGTTTGCGGGTATAAAGTGGCAGCGAAAAGTGCAGGACCGAGTTGACTGGTGGCACATGGGAGAGGCCTTTGTCCTGCAGTGGACGTAGTCAGGCTGCTACTGCTGCTGCTGCTGATGATGATGAGGGGAAGGAAACAGGAGTCTCGAAAGACGGTACAATGCCTCCTAGAAAAAACTATGCCTGGAACGTGAGCCGCGAGTGTGCTGCCCTACCCTCAGAATTTACGCTCCCCCTCCGGTACTATGGCGAACGCCTCTGACGACTGCCCCCTGTGAACACAGCAAAGCTCTCACAGTTGCCTCCGAGCAGCTGTGATGTCACGTGACAGAGCGGTACGGTAATGTCACATGGCTGAGTGGTACGAAGGCGAGCGGTTGCATGCGGCTGCCAGTCGCAACACACGACAGGAAGCATGGCCTCAGAGATTGTGTGCTGTCAGGAAGCTCCCAATTGAAAAGAGAGCAACGCTCGAGGCATAGTTTTTCTAGGAGGCGTTGGACTGCATTACAGCAGGTGATCCTGCACTAGGTGGCTGCATTGTAGATGTTCTGAGCTGCATATACGAGTGCACAGCATGCAAAGTACAAAGGCCCCTTACCAGAGTCTGGCAGCTGCTGGGTGAGTTCGTACTCATCAGGGTCACCCTCTAGGCCATGCTTTTCAAGGGCATTGCGCACTACGGTCGGTGTATGGTCCCCATTGCTGAGCTGTATATAAGCAACATTCCGTTAGGATGGCAATCATGCATATGGTGATACCTTTTACAGGATGTATCAGGCTAATGCAACAAACAACACACATCCTTATCCTAACAAAAACACTTAGAACAGAAATGAGCACAGAGCACATAAGACATGTCTTAAGGGGAGATGCTACTCTATGAAGTTTTTACTGTTAACATGGGCTTTTACACTGATTTGGAATATGTATTATGTTTAACAGTAAGCAGCTTACTTTTCATTTTGTACAATGACAATCTGTAAAATATAGCTCTTTTAGGACACACTTTTTATGCTATTACACTTTTATGGTTATCAGCCAACAATGTTTCATATTGCTCTACATTAACCATAGAACGCAAGTAACTAACAAGTTTGTGCATAAGACTTTTTAATGAACAACAAAAACTATAATGTGTGAAGTCAAACTGCTCAGCCCATACTAATTGCTTACTTTAAGTTCATAGTGACTAGATAGGTTGTATCACGTTATGAAGATGCTAAATTTACTCTTCACATGTTGAGTAACACATTGGCAAAATTTCATCCCGATCTGGCCATTGTAAGCACCAAAAACATGATGCTCAAACTCAGAAGTTGCCCCAAAACTACATCTTGAGAAAAACACATTTTAAATGTAGAAATGAAGGCTCATCTATATGGCAGATATGCTTTTTAAAATCATTTCTACCATCACGAGAGCTTGGGAATCATGGTTGTTTTGAGTATGTGGCTTTGGTGAACTACTCACGCGAAATATAATGGCAATCAGGCAGGTGAAAATTTCTATGGGATTCTAGTAAGCTTGTTTAGCTTTTAGCAGGCACCTTGTATTCTTTAAAAGCATTTTTTACCTAATTCTGCACGTAATAACAACTTTGATTTCTTTTGTCATGAAAGTATAGAAACTAAACTTGTGAAAGCAAGTAAGAACAAAAAAATGTTATTAAAAAAATGGATTTTTCTAGTATCATGTCCCCTTGAACCTTTCACTGCCAATACAGAGACAGCACGAGAGCAACACACTCACAAGAACATGCCAATTTCGAGTAGACTACTCGTTTCACCTCTTTAAATTGCTCCCTGCCACTTACGATATAACTCTACTAAAAAAAAAAAAAAAAATAGAATGTGGGTGTGTGTCGCGTTCATGGAAAGAACATATACATATATCTCCTAGTAAAATTTTTACAACAAAAGGAGCAAAGGAGCTTGAACATCAGCGTCAGCTCACATCTTTTTGCCAGCATTTCAGCAGCACAGCTATGGCAAGTATGTGTGCCATAGGCACACATTATTTGACAGAAGAAATTCAGGAGCTCTTACCTAATTATGACTCAAAAAAATATATTAATATCTCAGCAACTTAGAATTAATGAGTAATAAATTATTTTATAAAAAAATTCATTGCTTGTATGAATACAACTTTTATTTTGATGGGACGATCCCCGATAAAATTCTTTACATGTACTTAACAGAATTCTTTGGCACTGCTAACAGATAACTATTGCATGATCTGCGGGAAAAAACCCCGCATTGAAGTGTGCAGCAGTGCTAAAAAACCCCAGAGACATTATAACAGACATTATAGCATACCAATATGCTCTTGTAGAGAGTGGTGCCTTGGTTCATGCCAGATGGACTGTCCTGTCCTGCAGCCAACGTAGGATCCAGGCTGACTCTGATGACCTTTAAGTCTGGGTCATGTGGTGGTGTGGGTGGTGGGCATGCACTCATCATGCTCTGCAGATTTCCAGTGCTTTGCCATGGGCGCTGGTGGGTCCACTGCAATCACATTTAATGTAGTGAACTGTTTTGGCTTTGAAGCCACTGGTAACATGCAAAAATACATGAGAAATGTTTCTACCACGTAAACACACATACACACACACATATGCAAAAAAACTGCAAGTAGCATATTTTAAAAAAGGTTATTTAAAAAAATATATGGTAGATTTTGCTAGAGTCAGTGGTGGGGGCCATGCTGTGACATGTAATGCATAATTAGTCTCCAATTAATAAAAATTTCATTAACTTTGAAGTTAATATGCTCATTGTAACTGAAGTATAGAATACAGCTTTTTTAAAAGCCATACTACCAGCTTTTTGGCACAGAAAAAAGTGATTACCCGCAGAACTACAGCACAATGAATTTATTCGCCTTAGAGCATGTGAAACAAAAGCCAGATGCCAAAGTGCCCATGTGGCCCCTCAAGGCAATGTTGCCACTTACATAGCTGAGCAGCAAGCCGGTACCAAATGTTGGCGCTAAAAAATCTGCACGATACTGATGGCGCTGTCGAGAGCCAATTACCGCAGTTAAATTATGTAAGCAGCAATGTAACCTCAAGGTGGGCTGTCATGAGTGCACTTCAGCAGCCAGTTTTGGTTTGCATTCTCAAAGAACATACTTATCGTGTTGCAGTTCTGTGAACGTGAAAAAAATTCTTTGGTCCTGGAGGACCCCGATCAGATGCCCCTTCAAGGGCTCTGCTACAGTTGCTAGCTGTGCCCATGCGGTACTAGAAGACCATGGCCCTCCACCTTTTCATATGCCTCCTGGTCTGTTGAGAGCTGGACTGAGAGCTCGGAGCTTTTAAGGGCCCTCTCCCTGTCCTGTTCTGTGCCAGGCACTGCCAGAGCATGTGTGCAAGTGAACAATTATCCACCCCACAACTGGGCATCCTGGGTTTATGCCTTCAGCTAAGTGACTGAACATGTTATGAGGCATGAAAAAAAAACCTGCCTGCAGCATTGAAGGCCAACTGCAATGAAATTTTATACTCTGGCGAAAACGGCCCTTATACTCTGGCAAAAACGGCCCTAAAAAATGGTAAGTTACGATAACGACAGTGAAAAATTTTGCAGTCACCTATTCAATTTACAATTGGTGCTCTAATTGCCAGAAAGCAGACTACGCGGAGCTTTAGTGGTGCGCCCAGGCAAACCGGACAGAACCAGATATGACAATTACTACATAATGTCGCCGCGTCGCTCCTTGTGAGCAATCCTCCCTGCCACCGAATCGCTCTTTTCTGCGTTAAAACAGCGTGTTTGAAATGCGTCTGTGTGTTTGTGCTGCCTTGGCACCACCTAAAGATAGTGCGTTCATGCTGCATTGAAGTCGACGGCAAGCTAAGTCAAGCAGAGTTTCTGAATACGGGGGTCAGACACTGCAAACCCACCATTGGGAAGCCCGGACCAGCATTCGATAAGAGGCATGTTCACACAGCTTTCTTAAACCCACCATTGGGAAGCCCGGACCAGCATTCGATAAGAGGCATGATCACACAGCTTTCTTAAGTTAACATAGAAAAAACACACACTAAGAGCCACATCTGCGATGCGCGTGCTTGAGGAGCACGGAGCAGACGATTTTTCTGTCCTTCATATCACCTCCAGTCAGCCGTAATGGCGTGTTTTTTCTAGTTTCGGTCTCAAAAACACCGTCATTTGCAAGCTTTTTTTTCTAAGGTAGGCGCTTGTATTTTGAAGGCGACATTTGGCAGGCAGTTCTACCTCTAGCTAGACAACCTATATATTGACTTTTTGCGGAGTGCCAAATTTCGTTGCAGTTGACCTTTAAGAGAGCCAACAACTGCAGTCTAGTGAGCCTAGGATGCAAGAGGGGGTACCTCAGCCTTAACAGTAGGTAGTGAGAAGAAACTTTATGGAAAATGCCAAATGGATCCCCAAAACTTTCCACGAACCAGCCTCCAGACCCACCCAAACTGCCGCAGCATGCCATTTCTCGCACACAGTTATGGGCAAGTTCATAAACGTTTGGAACTGTTGGATGAGCCCTCAGCCCATGAGGACCGGGAACCAGGTAATAGTGTGAAAGCCTACTACACCCCTTGACCTGAGAATAGCAGCAGCCTCTCTGGAGCTCACTCCCGCGGCAAAGGCCCAGCCGGCAGCCCTGGAGTCAGTAAATATCTCTAGACGCAAAAGGTCCTTCACAGCCAAAGCTATTGCTACCTGCTCTACTACAGAGTGAATATTCAGTTTCTTTTATATATAAAAGACTGACAAGGTTTTTATGTAAAAAAAAAAAAGCTTACTTTAGTATTTCAGTTATGATGAGCCCACTAGGTATATTAGAAGCTTTTAGCTTCTACATATACTTTTTTACGTTAACCTGTTACCAGATGAGATCTGCACATGTGCGGGCCTTTACAAAATATAAATTTGCTTTCACACACCGTACCTAAACTACTCGCCAGACACATTTCGTGTTTGTGGCCATAGCTCACGAATTCACCTTCGTTCGTGGCTACTTGCAATATCTGTTTTGGAGACTCCAGCCACTGAGTAAAAAAGAAGCAGATGTGCAAGTGCCAATTATGACTGCATTGTTTGATGCAAATAACTGACACTAGAGTGACCTAGAATATCGAAGTCGTAAACATGAGAAGCTTAAAGACCCTGAGAGGACAAATAAGTGATGCCATCTAGCGGGGCTGAAATGTACCAGGCAAGCACAAAATTGTTTCTGTAGAAAAGTGATGCATTTTACTTATGATGTAAATGCCTCGCATCAGCATAATTACAAATAAGTTGCCTCTTTAGTCTGTTTTTCCCTGAAGAATTGCCAGCGTATCTATGTGCTTCACTGCAAAGGACGTTGAAAGATGATAGTTTTCAGTTTGTAGGTGCTGTGTTACTTATGGCGCCATTCGGCAGTAATGTGAAGAAATGAAACTTTTTTAGAGCGAAGAGTCACTGGTTGGTAAAAGCACCGCGTTGTTTCAGCGAAACATAGGAAACACCCACTTTTTTTTTTATAGTGTCGCATTGTCAGAAGAGCGTAATAAGCACTGCGGCCTTTAAAACTATGTTATCTATGCATTTTAGAAATAAAGAAACACACTACCTAATACTTATATATCGCTATTTACCTCAAATATGTGTAATATTTGCTTCTTGATTGACAATGTTCACAAGTATGAACGAAGCCAGCAGATAAAAATTGCTGGGCCTAAACTTTCACCGGGTGGCCGAATCGTGCAACAGACAGACCAACAGAAAAACAGACATAAATTTCTGGTTGAAGTATCCCAACAAGGACTATTGTCTTTAAAACACTATGCGAAAACAAACGTGTCGTTTATTGTGGTTGCACAAAGCGCCATGAGGTGTTGGCACCATCGTTTGGTAACCCTGGTAAGCCAGCATTCCTAGACATCTTTTTGCATATACAGCCGAGCCCACATATAACAGCCCCACTTAAAACCAACTTTCGCTTAAAACGAACAATATCCGTGTGACCGTGAAAATATACATTGTTTCAATGACACAAAATCGCACTTACAATGAATGTCTCCAAGTGCCGCCGATCGGTTACAGCGAACGAAGTCTGCGCTCTGCAGACTATCCGGGAAACCCCTTTAGACCACAGATGAGGCATCGGCGAGGTGCCCATAGATTCTTATAGTTAAACGCTGACCCTGCTTCTGTGCCCCTCTAGTTGCCGCTCTCCCCGACCGCTGTTTGTTACGCACCCTTCCGTCCTTTGTCCCCCCCGCTACTCTGAGCACCCTGCATCGCCAGACGCGGCCCGTGTTTTCAGACTGCCACCCATCTTTCAAAGACCGGTCGGCCATCTCCCCTGTTTTTGATCGCTAAAACTGTCACTGACGTCGCCAGCCTGGAGTGACCAGACCATTTGCTAACATCGTCTGTATCCGATCGTCTGTGTTTCGTCTTATCGTACCGTTCTAGAGCACACACGTAGGCTACACCACCCACTCGGATAATTTGCGATTGTTTTCATGCTAAGGACCTGTTCTCGCTCATTTCGCACTCGGCTCAGTATGTCCTCTGCACGTGCGCAGAAGTGTACAAACAGCTGTTAATTTGCGCACAACGAATCGGGAAATATCGAAGTCGGTGAAGCCACGCAAACCCGCCGGCGCAGCAAAACAATTCTTTGACCACGGCCGCTGATTCTTTGAACACCACCGCGCACGCCGATCTAGTTGGCCGTGCTTAGACCTCTGCATGCGCAGGCACTTCTTCAATTTTTTCTACGTGCGAGTTGCGGGTTTGGTGGAGCTTTCAAGCAAGCCGCCCGACCTGCCTCCTTCTTGCGTGTTTTGGTTTTCAAGGTCACCTTCCCGCGGTATCCTGCCCTCTCTTCACTTTTCCTTGCCCTTCTCTCGCAAATTGGCTCTCCTCTCTTGACACAACTCCTTCGCCCATCTCCGCAGCTCCGTGACACCAGCCACACTGACTCGAATTCAGAAGTATTGTTTTCTGACTAGAAACGAGCCCAGAGCTGTACCACACGTCCTGGCATGTGTGTTACGTGTGCGCGTCTTGCTTGCTCTCGATGTGTGTGGTCAGGATGGCAAACGGAAGGCCTTGCATGCTTTTTTTCTGCCACTCAACAAAACGTTGAAAGTGTGCCCGCTTGGCTTGGGTGTAATCCGCGTGTTAGGTGCCGCGTTGTGGAGCGCTTGCTCATAGCTGTTGACCACCTGGCAGCCAACTTGCGGCTTCGGGGGTCCCGGTATTCAGCTGTGGAGATTTTGAATATTTCGTGGGCGGCGGTGACGGCTACATGGTCACGAAAATGTTTTCGCGAGGTCGACTTCATTGACGCTGGGGCCGATGCCGAGCCTGAAGCTTCCGAACAAGACCACTCCAGCAGCGATTTGTAGCAGAGCGGGTGGGACATCTGTTGCGATGGTTTAATTACGGCTGATGATGATGCCGAAAACGCGGAACCGTGCACGGATTAGGGCATTGTGAATTCAAAACGCGGCAAGAGCGATTTGGAGGAATCGAATTGCGAGAACGACAAAACTTTGGAACCAGTGCCTCATGCAGCTTATGCCATGTGCCTCGGTTAAGATAAGCACGCTGCGTTTAAAAGAAACTTGAGACCACCCTTATCGCTCTTCAAAACACGTGCATCACAAACTATTATGGGTAGAAAACTTTGTTTTCACTCGCAACTTTTTTAAAAGCTGTATTTCATTTACTATGAACTTCGTCATACAGTGAACGGATGCCGCGTCAGGCTCAGGTTCGTTATAAATGGTTCGTTATAAGGCTCAGGTTCGTTAAAACTATGCTTAAAAAATTTTTGGGGGGGGGGAGGGGCACCATTTTTATTAGAAGTGGGGACTGGGCAGGCAGTCCCCACTCAGAAGCAACAATATGCATCACCTGATGGCTGCCACCAATGACAACATGCCTCCATCGTTTGGTGTTTTACTTCAGAATAATGATTTTTACCTATTAATGCCTTCATAGAAGCACCTAGCATATGTACAAGTGACATCAATAAAAAAAGATGAAATAACTTGCAAACTGCTAAATAGCCTCGCCGCAGTGGTCTAGTGGCTAAGGTACTTGGCTGCTGACCCGCAGGTCGCGAGTTCGAATCCCGGCTGCGGCGGCTGCATTTCCGATGGAGGCGGAAATGTTGTAGGCCCGTGTACTCAGATTTAGATGCACGTTAAAGAACCCCAGGTGGTCGAAATTTTCGGAGCCCTCCACTACGGCGTCTCTCATAATCATATGGTGGTTTTGGGACGTTAAACCCCACATATCAATCAAACTGCTAAATATCGTGACTAAAAAAAGCAAATGTTTTTACTTTTGCGTTTCACATACAAATATCAGTTGGGCCAGCTGAAGCTTGGTGCAAAGGCCGTCCTCACAGAATATCTGTAGGCTATCAATATTTTATAGCTGTGTAAGAAGCTATTTAAATGTATGCAAATATATATGACCTTCAGTCACAGTGTTTTCACATGATGATGCAACACATCTTTTAACACTGTAATTAATGACTATAATAAAATATACCTAAAGCATAGCTTTGAAGTCTTAATATAAAGGTGGCTAACCAAAAGCAATTGCTTATACTACTACTTTGCTACGAAGAGCAATACAGAACAATGTAATGAATATGTGCAGTACCTAGTTTTTTGGGAAGCTTTACAAGTAGTAGCGCTATATTAGTGCAGTTAATCTGAGTTATTTCTTGAATTAAAAAGCTGTCAACTGAATAATGAAGGCCACTTGACATCGTAAACGAGACTAATCGCTGAATGGCTGCAGATGGCGCAGGGCAACACAAAACTTTGTTGCTCTCAAAACTTGACGTTGAGGTGCTGTCATCTTTGAACTCAAAGCTCAAGTCCTTGTCACTCAATTAAGGCACAGTTGCAAAATAGTTTTAACTAAGTGGCCCACATGATGCCGTCTCCACCAGAGTGACAAGCGAAACTGGATGTGTCCCTCTGAGGAATTTAACAAGAGAAGCAAAACCGAAACTGCAAGAAACTAGCTGAAAAGGCCAGGTCCACACATTATACATGCAGCAGCACAGTGCAAATGAGTACTGGTAGAATAAATCTTTTCCAACTCCTAACAACAGCTATTTAGCGAATAGCTGGCATAAATTTTGGGCAATTACTACTGCTCAACACTGTCAGATTGCAAAGCTCACACTACATAATTTAATATTTCAATGGCAAGGGTTTTCCATATTACAGAACTTCGATGTAAATGGAGCATAATCATGAGCGACACGCATTCCACTCATATGCATCAGCCATGCCCACTTTTCCAGCAACACATGCACATTGCTTCACAAAGGTCCATCAGAAATCATTATGTTGCCCCAGCGGGAAAATTCAAACTGATTCTGAGAATGCAGTGCTTGGATTAACCACCAAGAGATGCTAGGTGAAAAAGAAACAAATCAAACATGCCAAAATCTGCAATTAAAAGCATCAATTACAAATGATCGATTTAAACAGGTGTGGCAATGAAAGAGTTAAGAACACTCGGCCACAATGTGCGACTGAAGGGAATAAAAAGCTTACCCCATTTCGTCGTAAGCTTTCGTGAGAGCCGCCACTCTGTGGCTGGCTGCTAGTGCTGGTAAGTGATGCAGTGTCCCCATCAACAGTGTTGCCCGAAGAACTGCACAGTGAAGAAATAACGCCGTAATGTTAATAACCAAGAAATGCTCATCAGCAAGTTATACAAGAGCTCTCAGTACTAAAACTTGAGACTATAAAAAAAATGAATTATCAGTTCATCAGTGTTTAAAAAAGCCACACAGAAGTATAGTAACAGTAGTTGCTACATTTATCAAGTAGCATACTGTACACCCAAGAGCAAAACATTATATAAAGCTTTGGCTCCACAATAAATGCAAATTTCTACTTTATTATATTAGTGTGTAACACTTCTAATGCAGTGGATGACTAAAGGCTGCATTACCAACTACAGGCTGTACCATTTATTTGGAGGTTATGTTCTCAGACAAAGTGACAATATAGGTTTCTAGAACACTTTGCATTACTCAGATTTTTGCTGTTGGGTGTACTTGATAAACTTATTGAGTAGAGTTTACTAGAAGTATTGTAGTGCAATTTCTTTTCCATTCTTGTTTCTTATATGGGTTTAATTTAAGCAAATTCTGTCAGCTTCCTTGTCTTTCACTTGAACTATTTTCTGGCATACATTTAAAGCACAATGCATAGAGTAGTTTCGAGCTTTCCTATGTTAGTTTATTTGTGTGTAACTATTTCAACCTTCGTGTCCATCCCTAGCTGTTATCACTGAACTACAGCTGTACTAGAAATGAAAGATATGACAAAAAAAAAAGTCCAACTTGGCACTCTACATTCTTTTCACAGAACATCACAAATAGCTCTTTCATACATATAGCTACTGGATGCCCAAAACGAAAATAAAGATATAGAATGAACAACTATGGAACAGCTTGAGAGTTTCCCAGTCTCTCAGAAACAAATTCGCTTTGTGATGCGAAAAGTGAGTCGCGGGCAGAAATGTGAATTATAAGATCTACATATGATTACTGCACTGCATTTTGGAAAAGAATGTACTGTAAACTTATTCTGGAATCTAGGCATTTTCACAATAGCTGCCTGGTTAGGTTGCATGGGGCCTTGCAATAGTTTTTCAATTAGCTATAGAAAGAATTCACTAATGAATGTTTTTGTGTCATGAATTGAGTGCTGCAAAAATTTTTAGAATCCATCCAGTTTGAACGGTGTTACAAAGATTTGTTGCACACTGCGATTGCTTTCTCTTTTTTGTCGTCCCAACGAAAGTGCTGAAAGCAAAATAAGGAGGGATAGCACAAGGGAAGAAAGCATGTTTCATGCATTTTGTGACCTTGAGCACATTTTCGCTCTTTTTTTTTAACGTGCCACTTTGCTGTGTGATCATGCGCGCATGCAGAAATATGTTGCGGCCTTATGCGGTGGCCCCAGGAACTCCCAAGCACGCCATGCTCAAATCAGCTAATGGCATGATACTTGGGCCTGTGATGCAAGATTTTTTAGTATACACTCAAACCTTAATATAACGAACCCAGATATAATGAAATATTAGTTACAATGAAATATACTGTCTTGCAATAGATATAGTATTAGGAATAAACCTTTATAATGAATTTTTGGATATAAACTTATTTTCATGTAAGATGCAACTTCGTTATACTAATGAGGTGTGAGTGTGTAGCATTTGTTTAGAGAACAGAGAGCGATATTTAGCTGACTTTAAGAAGTTATTGTAAATTCCAGGCCATGTGCTGCGCTATAATATTTGGCTTGGGTGCTCTTAGGGCCTCGACTACCGATCGGCAGCATTTTCTGACCCTGCTCAAAAATGTTGCATGGCCCCTAAAATTTATATAGCATAGACTTCTTGACTTGAAACTCACTTACCATATCATATCCTACATTGGAACCACCTTGGTTCCTTCCTTAGATGAAACAACAGAAGCCACAGTTTTGTTTAACTCTTTGTGGTCCGTTGTTGGGCTTAACGCAACATGGCTGCAGCAGCCCATGGTCGGTCACTGCTGAACAAATTCTATCATGGTGGGTTCATGGGTGCATTTTGTCACTAAATTATGCCTCATCTTTAAAAGAGCAAGCAAGCCTCTATTACTTGAGCTTTGAGTGGTTCAGTTTTGGATTAGCATCGACAGAAAGCAGGAAAAGGTTTCGGAACACAAATATTTAGATGTGATATAAATGACAGGGGCATATTTTAATCAGGTAGCAAGATTTTTTTTCTTTTCGTTTCTGTTTTTACAAATGCCAGAGAAGAGGAAGGAGGTAGAGTTTGTGATCTGGCTATAAGGAACTGGTCATAAACATAAACAGCCAGAACTTAATGCTGATTGAATATTGACGAAAATGAATAAAAACACAGCATTTTTTTTGTTCAATCATCCAGTTATGTATGCCCCAAGACATGCATTCCAAGTGATGAAAGAGAGACTGACACCTGACAGGAGTAGAAAACCTCCAGGTGGAATCTAGGTAAACACCACAACCTTATTGCACTACAATATTATGAAACAGCTTCATATTTATCTTGTCTATGTAGCGTTTCTAAAAACTTCTTAGCCTCACAATATTCCTCAATGCAGGCTATACATGAGTTATGATCGATGAATTTTAAATGCGAAACATTTATTAGTATACTTAAGGCACTTTGAAGCACCACAAGTGATTGACAGTTTATATCTAACCAGGAATTACGAGCACAGATATATTTCCTATACAGACAAGCCTTTAAATTTCTACGTCTCTCCTGGGCTTATTGGTAGGACTGTGCAAACTTTGGGTGCAAAGCGAATTCGAATATTAAGTGTGAGTAAAAATCAAATAAAATATTTTTCTAATACTTCGAAGTTACAGTTGCAGGAAAAAAGACTGAAGAGGATTCCTAATCAAATTCTTACAAGATAGCAACATGAAAGTGTTTCCTTTGGCTTGGTTGATGAAGTGCTGGCAGTGCAGTGTTTCATAGTTGTCTTATCAAGCCAGAGGCAATGCAGAGACCAAATTAAATTTATGCACAACAGGCTCTGAAAGAATGGAAATCAGGTAAATGGACCTGTTGCTGAAATAAAACTGCCTCTGATATAATTGTTTTGTCCCTGCCTACTGCACTCCTGTTCATCTCTGAGTAAACGGAACTCCTATTGAATAAAACATACTTTTGCAGTTCCTTCAGGTTCTGTTTAACGAGAGTCTACTGTATATGATTTGGTGCAACCAAAGTGTTGCCAACAACACTTTACGCGTGAAAGAGAAACATGCTATTTTCTCAGCCTCTCCTCCCCTTTCAACTTCTGTGGAAGCCCGAATGATGTGGAAGCCCGAATTATGTGGAAGACAAGAGTGAGCTCCTTTCAAGTCCACAGTTTGAAACTTGCCTAGTGGACGTCAGTATATAAGAACATCTGAAATTTTCAATGCTATTGGCCTTTGGCATTCAATTGTTCAGATTTTCTGCCCTAACTTTAGGTCCAAAACATCATTAATTGAGCCCCCACTTTTGCCACATCTATCATCTCCATGTTGGAAACATCGTTTTCTTGAGTCAATACAACTGCAACGGTAGCGAAATGAAAGGTAGCTTTGCTGCAGTACAAAAATGTGAAGAGGTGAAGCATACTGAAAATCTTAAGGGGACATTTTTAAGAGGAGATGCTACTCGAAGACACTTTTTCTATAATATTCACCCCAGAGGAATGAAACTTGAGCTGTTTATGGAACTTTTTATAAACATTTAATTAGTTTTCTTGCAAGTTACACACTTTTAGCTCTGCAACATGACAAAATGAAAACCTGAACCCTTTTGCCCCCCCACTTTTCATCCTTAAAATTCTGTAATTTTCTACCATTCATAGCTCATAATGCTTCAAATAAAGTCTAGAATGCAAATAACTAACTAGAAAGCACATCCAAAATATGTAGTACGCAAGAAAAATAATAGATGCAAAAAGTCCATATTTCACCTGCCCTAGTAAAGGTATACATACAATTTTTTTATTCTACAATAAAATGTTGAAATTTAAACTAAATAATTGCATTTGTCATACTTTGGAAAAAATTTGGGCAAAATTTCATGCAGATCCGAGCACTAGAAATGCCCGAAAAAGGAGGAGCACATTGGAAAAAATGGCAAAATTTATGTTTTGAAAAAAAAAAAAAAGAGTTTTAAAGTTAAAATTGAGTTTTTATTTATGAAAGATATTATTAAATCAGATAAAATTTGCACACCAAAAAGAACAATCCTTCTCGTAGTGGCCACTGCGACTAAAAAACGCCAGCACCATGAGCTTGTCCCTCTCGGCGTTTTTGAGCCGACTCCTCACAGACATTTCGCTCACAGACAGGGCCATGAAACGCTTGCCAAACTTCCGCTTCATCTGGCAGAGCCTTGTGCCAACTGCAAGCTAGGAAGAAGTTCGACAGGACTGTGAAATCCCAACTAAGTCCAGTGTCATGCCATTTTGCAGCCATGTTTGTGCCACATACCGTCGTACGTAATGGCAATGTCGTCCCTGCTAAGTACTCTCACTGCGAGCTCTTTCGACCTCTCAAGATTGGTGCTGACGTCATCCATTGCCATATCACGAACTTTCCGGCTGACCGTGGTGAATGACTTTGATGCATTGGCTTTTGCAAGCCCACAACTGCCGCAAATCGGACTAGCTGCTCGTAGCCTATTCTTAGAGAGCGCGCCGCACAACGGCTTTCACTTGTGAGCAATGCCTTTTTTCATTTATAACGGAGATAATTACATGAGAAAAGCATTGTTCAGCAGCGCTGCTCGACAAGACATGGACCCTGCAAATAGGTTTCACAGCACATACAGGCACGCAGCTGCCAATGGCGGTCCCCGATTCGTACCATGTAATAAGCCAGTCGTGGCGCTCGAAAAACGCACAGAATAGTGATTCTTTTTATTATTTCTTGCGCTGCATCAGCGAGACAAACTGTTGTTATTTGAAAAGCGAGGCTCACCTCTTTGACTGATGCGATCAACAATGGCTAGCGGTGGCGCATTATCGGCGGCAAGGTGCTCGAAGAATGCACACTTTCGACCTTTTAACAGGCACCTTGTGCTCTTTAGATAAAATTTTAAAAGATTTCCAGTAAAGTCTCGACCTGTAATATTTTTTTATAACAGTAGAGGTACTAATCTTGCCAAAACAGGCGAAAATAAAAAATCGGTAATTTTGAAAAAAATCTCGTTTTTCGACCCGCATCTCCCCTTAATCTGATGAATTTATCTTAAAAAAAACTGCCAGGCCTGCGCAGAACATGCAGCACTGTCACAGCAAAAGCTGGAAAAGTGGCCTTTTAGATCTATTCATTAACACTCTTTGGGTAGCTGCTACAAGCACACTTGCAGGATACCCACTATGCCATAAATCGTGTGGTAGACAGGCATTCACTATGCCATCTTTCGTCATTCTTCGAAGGAGCGTGGCAATGCTACACACTTGCAAGAAACTTTGTGCTATTTTCCGTGCTGTGGCTAACGATGACGAAGTATCATGCCAGAAGCTTTTGTAATCCCAACAATCCCCTACAGTGGTTATGTGCCACAATCAATGTCTGAACAAGATCAAGCTTTTGCAAAGAGTTGGAGCATTCGACGACCCACCCATTGCACAATTCACATGGTGCAACAATTGGTTATTCCTTTGTTGTTCTAAAACGTTTTTATTATTCATATTAACATGATTCCTTTCTCATCATCAAGCCTGCCTAAGGCCAGTTTGCAAATGAGTCCCAACCATCGGCGTGGCTCAGCGGTAGAACACTGGGCTGGCACGTGGGGGCCCGTGTTCGAGTTCCATTGTGTCCTTAGCGTTTTTTTACTTATTGAGTTTTTTGTTGCTTATTTCATGCGCTAGTGGTTAAGGACACCGGCAGTCGTGGCAGATAACTACGGCAGACGCGGCCCGTGTTGTGATCTCATAACAGCTTTCACTGTAAAAATTCCGACTGGCAAATCCTGAAAGGCAGCTTTGCCACAATATGAGAATGTAATGAGGTGAAACATAAAAAAAAAAATTTGAAAGGATTACTTTTTATCGGACGTTGAGTGAATTTGATTTCGGGAAGTTGGAATAGATTCAAATAGTAAAATTCCAGTGCAAATCAAATCGAATAGCGAACACTCTTGAAAAGATATTGAAAATTTGAAATATTCGCACACTCCTACTTATTTGACTCTTTTAAAACAACTGTGGTTTTCACGGGACCACAAACGATTCTAGCTTGCTAATAAGCAAAATATATATAGTTGTCGAGACTATAGACGATATTTGCACAGGCTTAAATAAAAAAGGTGCCTCCATTGAAAACCTGATAATGTATTTTTAGGTTGTGTGACATGTTTCTCTCCTCAAACTTGATTTGATTTGTGGGGTTTAACGTCCCAAAACCACCATATGATTATGAGAGACGCCGTAGTGGAGGGCTCCGGAAATTTTGACCACCTGGGGTTCTTTAACGTGCACCCAAATCTGAGTACACGGGCCTACAACATTTCCGCCTCCATCGGAAATGCAGCCGCCACAGCCGGGATTCGATCCCGCGACCTGCGGGTCAGCAGCCGAGTACCTTAGCCACTAGACCACCGTGGCGGGGCTCTCCTCAAACTTAATCTAAACACTTTTGTTTTCTTCATTTCATGCAATAAATACTGACTAAATGAATGAAAACAGAAAAGTTGCACTGTAATAAATGGCTGTAACCTATGGTGAGCTAAAGCATGCAAATGCTTGTATAAAAAGTATTGTTTACTTTTTCTTATTGTAGCTGGTACTATAGTGGATTTCAGATGACTTGGATGCATATTACTTGCCTCAAAGGGCTTCTCTTGGGACTGCTGGCTGGCTCCACTTTACAGGACAGTCGGTAACTGTACAGGACATAGAAAAGCAAACATCTTTAACAGATTCTGTACGAATTTTAACTTTTAGTTTTAATAAAAACTGATCCAATGTCTCTAGGTCGATTCGGCCTCTTCTTCAGAGGGTGACTGCCTGGCAAGACACCAGAGATAGCACATTTTATGCAGTTGTGCCGACTCCAACTCTTGCAACTGTAGCTATCTCTGCATTGTCTCCACTGATTTTAAAGGCCATGTTTTAAAGGCCAGCATAAATAAGCTTGGTAGCATCCCCATTGACCAGGCATCATTTGTATGTGCCACAATTCCAAGTATAGTCTTTGTGCGGGACTAACATTGATGTCAATGGCCTAGGTGGCATCAAAAACAATGCGATAGTCAAAATTCTCACTGTGTTCTGTGCAAGCATTTCATTCTGTGTTGAAACTGCATACTTCGCTCCTCTGCTGACGTAGTCTTTCCAGAAAGTCTTTTGTCTCGCCAATGTAAATGGCACGACAATCGGTACAGGTCACCCAAAACACAAACCTCAGGAGTCTTTCTTTTGGCAGTCTGTCATTTGGTCGCGCCACAAAGACAGCAATGGTGAAAAAAACGATCATGTAAAGGACACAACTGCTTGAGAAAGGCTATCCGTGGTGCTGGACAATCACCTGCTGAAAAAGAAACCAATTCGCCTGGAAATGTGTCAGTTTTCATTAAAACCAAAAACTGAACTTGAATGGAAAGCCTTTTTTTTTTAGAATATAGGAAATGAAACTGCACACAGGCACCTCATACTTTCCAAAAATGGCCACAGCTTTGAAGTAAGGGTCAACATGCTTATGAGCACAGGTGAGAGCATCAATAATAACTGCTGGGGTTTTACATACCTGAACAACAACATTATTATGAGAAAAGCCATGGTAAAGGTTGATTGATATGTGGGGTTTAACGTCCCAAAACCACCACATGATTATGAGAGACACCGTAGTGGGGGGCTCCGGAAATTTCTACCACCTGGTGTTTTTTAACATGCACCCAAATCTGGGCACACCGGCGTCAAGCGTTTTTCCCTCCATCGAAAATGCAGCCGCCGCAGCCGGGACTCGATCCCGCGACCTGCAGGTCAGCAGCCAAGCTTAGCTACTAGACCACCACGGCGGAGCTCGTGGTGAAGAGCTCCAGATATTTCGATCAGCTGGGTTACTTATGATACACCTAATTTTGAATACACTGGTGGGCCTCTTGCATTTCATCTTCACCAAAATGTGATTGATGCGGTCAGGATTTGACCCTGCAACATTTGGGTCAGCAGTTGGGCACCATAACCATAGGGGAGTGGATTTAAATAAGCTGTGCTCTGTCTCATTGGCTAATGTGGTCACAATGTAACATGGATGGCGTCATCTTATACACAAAACACATATTGTATGGAAATTAAGGTAACAACAAGGACAACTCAGCGAAAGTGAACACTGGCAAAAGTAGGGCAACACATGCACGGCAGCATTTACAACAATAAATTTCTTTTTTCTGCAATTTGAGCCAGAGTTAATTTATCATAGAAATTAAACTATAATACACAGTAAGGCTGGCCGAAAACCATGTCAAAGCACTGACATTACAATTTTAAATTTTTTAACATATTTTAACATGAAAGCATTTCATACTGGGGTTCACCAACACTTCTGCCACAGATGTGATGTCTGTGAAATGTGAACGAACAGATGACAATGAAAAACCAGAAAAAAAAAGTTTCATTAATTGGGATGATCTAGGAGTCAAGCCTATGACTTCTCGTCTTGTGATTATAAAAGTCGGGTGCTTTACCCACTGCGCTATTGAACCTCATGCATAAGCTCAAGTAGCACAGTGATTGAATGGCACAAGGAGTTTTCCACACTCGCCACCATGGCTACTAGTGGCGCTGACTGACACTCCCATATTTAAATGCACATATATGCCATTAAGTGGACAGGAGAATGGCTGCTGCTGTAGCTCAGTTGGTGGAGCATCGGACACGTTATTAATTAAAAGGTCGTAAGCTCAGTCCCTGCCAGCGACAAGTAATCTTGTGATCCACTTTTCTTTCTTCACATTTATATCATAATTACTACTAATATACTTCTCTTGGCATAATTATTGGTTAGTTTTCATTAATAGTTGCTATTTGTAGGCACTTAAAAGAACCAACTTTAAGTTGAAATTTTAGATTGCAGCAACATGTGCACTAACAACCCAATTTATGTGGGCAAGTAAACCCGGATATGTCAAACCTGAAGGGAATCACGACGCACTTCTATATATAGGTAATAGGTTGTATAAGATACTTTATGAAAAATATTTTTAGGGGATTTTACAGCTTTTTTGATAAACACAATTTTTTATATGCTAGTTCAATAGCTGTAGCAGTTTGCAGTATAACTATGCTAGCCCCTCTACTCAGGAATACAATGCTAAAATGAAAACATTAGGACAACCGTATTATGGCACTTTTACAAATGAGACACAACGAATAAAAAAACATGTGCCATAAAATATCGCTAGAATTCAGTTTTAACCAAAAAGTGTCAGCACAAGCAAATCTACAGAGCAGCCATTGGCAAGCAGTAGTAATTCTACGTGCAGTTCAATGCGCAGAACCTGGTAAACTGAAGTGTCAACCTGTATGACAGGTTTCAAGAACAATCATTGAGCCAATGTGGCCAAAATACAAAAAGAAAAAAAAAAAGACCTGAAATTTGTGCAACCAGCAATTCAGCATGCTGCACAGACATTGAAGTGTCTTCTGCCAGTAAGAAAATACTGTATATACTCGCGTAATGAATGCACTTTTTCTCTGAAAAATCGAAGCAAAGTTGGGAGTGTGTTTATTATGTAGGGCAAATTTTAGGAATACTTTTTCCGTATGAGAAAATAATGTGGTAATGCAAAAAAAAAAAGTCAAGTCACTTCACCTTTCTCAATTGACATATGCGTACAATGTTTGTAAACAGCTTCTTTGTTGCACATCACTCATCTTTGGTGGTCGATGGTGATATCTTCTCTGCAAGCTGTCCCCGCATTGCACACGCACTTCATTAAAGCATTTTGCAGCTTTTTCTTGCAATCTCTTAATCGCAATGGTAATATCTGTGTAATCTCGAGGGGCGTCCAAAAGCGTGCGCTACGACACTTTGCCAACTCCGTGGCAGGCTCACACGACGACCGCACGCCGCCTTTGACATTGCAGCAAGCGACCACAAAAGCATGAAAACAAGCAGTCGATAAAAATATTAATGACAAATTACGGCTGCCGCCTCACTGTCTACATAAGAAATGACTGTAGAAAAGCTAACCTATATCTTGCGTTCCTTAAAGTATGTGCGGAGAACAAGCATACGAAAAGCAAATCGCAACGGAAGCAAGAATCGGGGGTGCTGCCATGTTACGGAAATCATCACGCTCTTTTCCGACAAGCAATTTTTTTTGTTTTCGAGAAACCCACGAAGCGATGACAACGAATGGCCCTTCGCAACAGCCACACAAGAGCAAATTCTGTCCTCATAACTAAAAAATCGCGTGCCTGTGGTTTCGTATTTGCAGGAAGCGACCATTGGTTGGCACAGGCATTTTCGTGACATTCACTCACTGTGTGCTTGTCAGCTGCAATGTCTCTGCGCTCGCACTGTTCATGAACCACACTGTGGTGCATGAATAATGAAAAAATACAGGAGATGGCCCACGCACAAATAGAAAAACAAAACAATACCGCACGGGGCAGTGGGCAAAAGAAGGGGGAGCGAGCCAAAATGCCTGAGGGAAACGAAACAGATTTAACGAGCAAGGAGGTATGTGAAACCAGCTGTCAGTATGTGAAACGGCAGCGGAAAAATGTAAGGGGTGCGTTTATTACATGAGAAAAAAAAATTAAAATTTTTGAAAACTGAAGTTGGGGGTGCGTTTACTATGTAAGTGCGTTCATTACGCGAGTAAATACGGATATAACATGATTAATATTTAGCAGGATGTGAAATATATGCTACCAAGACCCTGTCACCTGGGAACACTAAAGTTAATCACAAATCAGGTGCAACTCAAGGGGGTAATAATTTCAATGTTCTTTCTCGCAAGAACGTTGGCCAGGAACAGTATGAATTAAGAATATCTCACTGTGGTTCAAATGGACTTTTCATAAGTGCTGGTACAACACACTAAAAATGCTATGTTATGAATGATGGGAATACGACCAGCCCTATTGTGGTGTTTTGGTTTCGAATTCATGGTTGCTAGATTCAGCTTCATGTAAAGCATTTTTGCCCTCAGGGGGCGCTACCCTGTGTATAAATGCACGGCATTGTACATAATAGAGGAGTTCCTGCTTGGCTACCGGCTGCTGCGTACCTCGTGTTGGCCGGCGCTTCAGCGCCATGCCCTGTGTTCTCCGTGCGGCGCGTATGCCTCACGATACTACACCTATGAAGTACGTATGAAAGATCATATGCCGCATAAATTGCTATGAAGATGCCCAAGAAAATGCTCACCTCTGTTCATCTGAAAGCATGGGCAGTGTCTCAAACCAAGCCACAAATGCAGGATCTGGCTGGAGGCTATAGCAGTTAGCAGCACTCTGTAGAAGCTTTATCTGTGCCAGGACACGAAATTCACGACGACGCTTGTCGAAATTGAGCAGACCTCCGGGGAGCTCATCCGGGAGAGCGGCATCTAGCATGGTCAAGTCCGTCAAAAAGATGCCCAGGTAAGGTACTGTACCCTGCATTGTGCCAGGCTGCAAGAAAACATAACTAAACATCATGAGGGGGAATGGCACTGCAGAAAAATGTTTACAAACCAAAAGTGAATAAAGACTATTTAAAGTGCCACGTTTGTTTTCTTGATTGATTGATATGTGCGGTTTAACGTCCCAAAACCACCATATGATTATGAGAGACACCGTAGTGGAGGGCTCCGGAAATTTAGACCACTTGGGGTTCTTTAACGTGCACCCAAATCTGAGCACACGGGCCTCCTTCATTTCCGCCTCCATCGGAAATGCAGCCGCCGCAGCCGGGATTCGAACCCGCGACCTGCGGGTCAGCAGCCGAGTACCTTAGCCACTAGACCACCGCGGCGGGGCACGTTTGTTTTCTCATTTCGCTTCAACTTCACAGCAAAGCATGGAAAATATATGTACACTTGGCAAAAAGTGCCCAGTAAAGTGTGAAATAAAAAAAAATGCCAGGCCTGCGTGGAACGCACAGCACAGTCACAGCGAAAGCAGGAAGAGCGGCATTTCAGAGCCTTTTCTAAACAGTCTTTGGGTAACTGCCACAAGCACAGTTACTCGGCACCTGCTACGTCATTAATAATCATAATTTATGGGTAGTAGACTGGCATTCTCTATGAGGTATCTGCTAAACACTTTCAAGGAAGTTTTTGCGAATTGTTCATGCAGTGGTTGACGACGATGAAGAATTATGCCTGAAGTGGGTATGCGCCACAGCTAATAAGTGATCAAGAACAAGCTGTTGTAATGGGTTGGAGTACTGGACGACCCACTTGTTACACTATTCGCATTGTGCAATCGCTGGTTGTTCCTTTTCTGTTCTAAAATGCTTTATTACTCATATTAGTAATATTCCTTTCCCAACATCAAGCCTGCCTAGCGCAAGTTTGAGAACAAATCCTAATCACCGGCGTGGCTCAGTGATAGAAAATTGGGCTGGCACGCAGCGGACCCGGGTTCGAACTTAGCTGTGTCCTCGGTGTTTTTATTTACCCATTTTTTTCTTATTTCGTGCGATAGTGGTTACGGACACCGGTGGCAGCGGACAACTACGACGCCGCGCGTGACCAGAGTTTCGATCTCGTAACAGCTTTCGCTGTAAAAGCAATGATGAAATTCTTGTAGTATTAAGGACAAGGACAGAACTGCAGACACAGACTTCGATACAGATTTCGAGAGCACGACAATGTGCACAGATCCATGCAAGCACACTTAGGCTTGCATCGTTGAGACTGTGGGTGCAAACTGAAGTTCCATAAAACCAAGACCGTCGCTAGACACAATAGCCAGACGATGTGTAAAATCATTGAGGCATCCAAGATTTACATTCACTGCGAGAACACTGCATCAGTACGGCTTATTTGGGATTGACACAGAAAGAAATATATCTAAATTCATCGTGGCGAGATAGGAGACGGATGCTTGTTTGTTCAGTATGGGTGGCTTTCGATATTACACAGTCATGTGGTTGTGACTGTGAAGGAAGCAGTAGCAAAACTGGAAAATACGGACCCTTTACTTGAGCAATTTTGTGTACAAAGAATGAAAAGCCACAGTACAAGCAATTCACATGGCACACTAATATTGGCAAGCACAGCCAATAGCTATCGAGTAATCTGATCAGCAGTAAAGCATCTCAGCATTTTATACTTGCGACATTGATGGTTCTACTGTTATTGTTGATGGCCGGGTTAGTTCCCAAACAAAACTACTTTTTGCTATACGCACTCAAGCTTAGCAAAGGATTCTAAAATAATTTCGAAGGTTTCCAAACATTAGAGCGTGGCTTGCATAAAGCATTATTTACGTAAAGGACCAGTTACATAAAAATACAAAAAGAAGCACGTGTGGCACTATGAATCCCCCCCTTTTTTATTAAATATATGAAAGGTTTTAATGTTCCAGGGACTACATCAGTATTTGTAGTGCTGTATCCATGACAATATATATATATATATATATATATATATATATATATATATATATATAATAAGGGAAAGAAGTGTATACCTAAGGGCTCGCTTTTTCCGTGTTTTGACACAATATTAATGAGATCTAACAGACAGTAATGCCAAAGAATGTACAGAGGAAGTTATTAGAACCAATGGAATGTAAATAGAAGAAAGAAAAGTGGATGAAAAAATAACCGGCCGTGAGCAGGAATCGAACCTACGACCTTCGAATAACGCGTTCGAGCATCGAACACGTTATTCGAAGGTCGTAGGTTCGATTCCTGCTCACGGCCGGTTATTTTTTCATCCACTTTTCTTTCTTCTTATTTACATTCCATTGGTTCTAATAACTTCCCCTGTACATTCTTTGGCATTACTGTCTATTAGACCCCATATATATATATATATATATATATATATATATATATATATATGTTGTAGATAAGTCATACATGCATATGTGTATAGATGGTATTCACCTCCGAGCAACCCGATCCGCACAGCATGCGAGCAATGTGGAGAAGGCACTATTTTTCCGGCCGCCATGCCTAGGGCCATGTACACGCATGTGTGCCTCTGTGTAATGCTAAAGTTGAGCAGTTTTTTTTGCGCCCAGCATCCGTTATCACGTTTGATTGTGCTGTATTTGTGTGCAGCCATTACACAAAATGGAAGGGTGACGAGCCTGAAAACTCAAAACCGGTAAAATTTAATTCCTTGCCGAACGTTATTCGCAGTCATGTAGCCGTATACTGCAGGTTGCGGCGAAGCGTAGTTGCGAGTGATTCAGCAGTCTTCGCCAGGCTGATTTTAACAAAGCTGTGGGATGAGTGCTTGAGAGTGGTTCACCTGCAAATGGAATCTCAGCTGAGTTCGGATTCTGAACGCTTTAAGTAATTCAGATGCGAACGAAACAGAAAAATAAAGAAATAACAGTAACACAGCAAATGCAGTCAGTTTCAATGCTCTGGCAGAGATGTCTGCGAAAAGCACAACACAGCGAAGTACTCAACATTGAATTATTCACATTAATACATGCGCGGTACTCTGTGAGCTTAAATGAGAGGCACACGCTTTTGTTTTTCTCGCTAAAGTGACCTGGATCAGTACACTTCAAGTGTCAAAGCACAGGTGGCTTATAACCTCGGTCTAGCGAATAATTTAATGCTCCTGACACTTTTCATTTGATTGATCACAGCTGTGGGTGAGCCATTGATTGATATGAGGGGTTTAATGTCCCAAAACCACCATATTATTATGAGAGACGCCGCAGTGGAGGGCTCCGGAAATTTCGACCACCTGGGGTTCTTTAACGCGCACCCAAATCTGAGCACACGGGCCTACATTTCCGCTTCCATCGGAAATGCAGCCGCCGCAGCCGGGATTTGATCGCACCACCTGCGGGTCAGCAGCCGAGTACCTTAGCCACTAGACCACCGCGGCGGGGTGTGGGCGACTCAACCACGTCAAAATTTCAGTCTCGTGTGCACTGTACCACAATCTAATCTGTCCCATGCAATGGTGTTTTAACGTGCATGTTGGTAAGCGCTGCAGTTAAGCCCACTGCTTCAACTAGATTCGTAAAACATCGCACTGGTATCAAATTCATAGGTAAACTCGACTTTAGCGCTTAAAGACAAAATATAACTTTAGATTATCTTACCTTGGTGCCCACAGCGAAGCAGTCACCGTCACTTTTCAGTGAAGGTTCGTGGACAAACCCACTAGTCAAGAATCCAATGATTTCTTGGCTTTGAGTCATTCGTACGTCACAAAAATTGTCGTATATGCACCAAACAATCCTTTATGTCTCATAATTCCACCTTCGAAACAAGTCTGGTGTCAAATGCGACATCGCTCGTCAGAATGAGTGGGTCAACACACACTGCAGGGAGCCACTTTGTGTATCGCTGTTTAGCATCGGCGTCCAATTTCTCCACGTACACGCTCAAGCGAGCTTAGCACGCATCGCCCATTGCTGCAGCAGCTTCACAAATGGTAAATCTTGTACCTTCTAAATCGAAATAAAATAAAACAAGAGCAACGTGCCCTCAGTAACTTGTGTGAACCTGTTGGATCCACTGTACTCGACTGTCGGTATGCCGCCTGCTGCTGCTATGGTGGCCTTCAAAACGGTGGCCACGCGGTTGCCAGCACAGCTGGCGCACTTTGCACTGCCGCGCCCACCTAGCGGACGTCACGTGAATACAAGCTATTAGTCCGACCAATTTATCCAGTGGAAAGTTTATGCTTGAGTCTGAGCAGTTCTGTCCTTGTCCTCTAAGCGGTGCACAATAAGGCAGCAATAAACAGACACTAACCAGCCCAAAGACTAAGTACCCATCTGATAAAAGCTAGAGCAGCTGCTGCGAATTTGTCATGACAGCCACGTTTCAGAAATTACACACATAGAAATTAATTTTTCTCTCAAAACAATGGAAAGGTGTGTGTTTACTGCTGCGTCATTCTTGCTAAAATTTTTGAGCAAGATTCTGTTTTACGATCTATACTGCTCAGTGCAACACTTTGCTCAATTACTTGCCTAGTTTGTCTAAAACAGAACTAATTTGCCTTTTCTGTACCCACTGCACTGAGTGACCTTCAAAGGGACCTACCACACCAATATTGCATAAATAAATTGAGCTGGTAGTGCAGGTATTTTGGATCATAAATAGATTCAAGCGCTTACCAGCCGTGATGATGAAGCAAAGGTTCACTCAGTGCAAAAAAAAAACAGCGAACTTTGACTGTTGTCTTGATAGGTGCCAGTGACCTCTGTTCCAAAATTACTACCACTGAATGAGGCCATGGTTGCCAGCCATGCATTCAGCTTTATTTGATAGCAGGTACCTGTATTCTGCACCAACAGTTGGCACTTGATACGGGTCTGAGTGAAGAGGAATGCCCACTACAGCAGCGACATTGACACGTTGGCGCGAGGCGCGATCTGGGACTGCCTGGTTGCTGCTGCGACGACACCCGTATATCCGGCCAGCTCTTGCTGCTTCTGTCCTGACACTGCTACCGCTTATCGCCTTGCATTTACATTAT